GGGCATCCACATTGGAAAATAAAAAGTAAAACTGTCCTTATTCATAGATGACTTGATACTGTACATAAAAAACCCCAAAGACTCCATAAAAAAAACTACTAGACTTAATAAATGAATTTGGCAATGTAGCAGCATACAAAATTAACACTCAGAAATCTATAGCTTTTTATACACCAACTAGAGGCCCAGTGCACAAAATTCATGCATAGGGGTGTGTGTCCCTCGGCCCAAGCCAGCACCCTCTCCAATCTGAGACCCCTCCAGGGATGTCCAACTACCAGAATCGGGCCTAAACGGGCAATCAGACATCCCTCTCACAATCCAGGACTGCTGGCTCCCAACTGCTCGCCTGCCTGCCTTCCTGATTGCCCCTAACCACTTCTGTCTGCCAGCTTGATAACCCCCTAACCACTCCCCTGCCAACCTGAATGATGACTAACTGCTCCCCTGCCAGTCTGTTTGTCCTTAATTGCCCTCCCCTGCAGGCCCAGTCACTGCCAACTTCCCTCCTGTGCTGGCCTGGTCACCTCTAACTGCCTTCCCCTGCAAGCCTGATTGCCTACAACTGCCCTCCTTTGTAGGCATGGTCCCTTCCAACTACCCTCCCATGATGGCTATCTTGTGGGAGCCATCTTGTATCCACATGGGGGCAGCCATCTTGCGGGTTGGAGTGATGGTCAATTTGCATATTATTCTTTTATTAGTTAGGATTAGATAGGAGAGAAGCCTGGTGCATGGGTGGGGGCCAGCAAGTTTGCCCTGAAGGGTATCCCGGATCAGGGTGGGGGTTTCCTTGGGGCATAGAGCAGCCTGGGCGAGGGGCCTGTGGTGGTTTCCAGGTTGGCCACACCCCCCCAGTGACCCAAGTGGAGGCCCTGATACCTGGAACTTATTTATCTTCTATAATTGAAACTTTGTAGCCTTGAGTGGAGGCTTGGACTTGCCAGGGTGTGCTGAAAGCTTGGCTTCCTCCATTGCCTGCTAAACCCAAGCCTCTTGCTCACTCAATGGCCTCAGCCATATTGTTTGGGTAATTTGCATACAAGCTCCTGAATGGCTTGTGGGCATGGCATGTGGCATAGTGGAGTGGTGGTTAATTTGCATATTACTCTTTTATTAGAAAGGATAATGAGCTCCCAGAAAGAGAAACAAACAAATAAAATCCCATTTATCATTGCATAAAAAAATTAAAATACCTTAGAATAAACTTAACTAGGGAGGTAAAAGACCTGTACTTGGAAAACTATAGGACATTGAAAAAGAGATAGAGGAAGACATAAACAAATGGAAGAATATACTGCATTCATGTATTGGTAGAATCAATGTTAAAATGTCCATGCTACCCCCCAAAAATGTATGGATTCAATGAAATCCCCATTGAACTACAAAGGCATATTTCATAGACCTAGAACAAATGCTCTAAAAATTCATGTAAAGAACCAAGGTGGAGGGATCACAATACCAGATATCAATCTATATTACAAAGCCACTGTTCTTAAAACTGCCTGGTACTCACACAAGAACAGACATATAGACCAAAGGAACAGAGAACCCAGAGGTCAATCCATGCCACTATACTCAATATTTGACAAAGGAGGCAAGAGCATACAATGTAATCAAGACAGTCTCTTTAATAAATGGTGCTGGGAAATTTGGTCAGATACCTGCAAAAAAGAAGAAGAAGAAGAAGAAGAAGAAGAAGAAGAAGAAGAAGAAGAAGAAGAAGAAGAAGAAGAAGAAGAAGAAGAAAGAAAGAAAGAAAGAAATGAGATCTTATGCCATACACGAAAACAAACTCAAAATGGTTAAAGAACTTAAATGTCAGACAGGAAACCATAAAAATCCTATAAGACACCATAGGCAGCAAAATTGCAGACATATGTCATAGCAATATCTTTACCAACACAGCTCCTAGGGCAATGGAAACTAAGGAGAAAATAAAGAAATGGGACTATATCAAAATCAAAAGCTTCTGCACAGCAAAAGAAACTATCAACAAAATAAAAAGAAAGCCCACTACATGGGTGAACATATTTGCAAATGCTATTTCAGATAAGAGTTTAATCTCCAAAATTAACAGGAAACTCATACAATTTAACAAAAAGAAGATAAACATTCTAATAAAAAAATGAACAAGGGACCTAGATAGATACTTTTCAAAAGAGGATATACAGAAGACTGAGTGACAAGTGAGAACATACTCAAAGTCACTAATCATCTGAAAGATGCAAATCAAAACAGCAATGAGATACCATCTCACTCCTGTCAGAATAGCTATCATCAACAAATCAACAAATGACAAGTGTTGGAGAGGATGTGGAGAAAAAGGACCCTCCTTCACTGCTGGTGGGAATGCAGACTGGTGCAGGCACTGTGTAAAACAGTATGGAGATTTCTCAAAAAACTAAAAATTGGACTCCCATTTGACCCTGTGATCCCACTTCTAGGACTGTATCCCCAAAAACTAGAAGCACCAATCAGAAAGGATATTTGCACCCCTATGTTCATAGCAGCACAATTTACAATAGCTAGGATTTGGAAACAGCCTAAATGCCCATCAGCAGATGATTGGATTATAAAACATTGGTACATTTAATCAATGGAATATTAAGCTGCTATAAAAAAGAAGGAACTTTTACCATTTGCAACAGCATGAATGAAACTGGAGAGCATTATGTGAAGTGAAATAAGCCAGTGGGAAGAAGATAAATATCACATGATCTCGCTCATTTATGCAATATGATGAACAACATAAACTGATGAACAAAAATAGATCCAGAGACAAGGCAGCACTCAACAGACTATCCAACCTCAGAGGGAAAACAGGGGAGGAGGGGGTGAGAGATCAACCTAAGGACTTGTATGCATGCATATTAGCATAACCAACAGACTGGGGAGGTGGGGCTTGCCCTGTGGTTGAGTATGGTCAGGGAGGATCAATCAGGGAAAAAGGAGACATATACAGTCCTTTAAAAAATAAAAAATGAGGATGGAGAGCCGAGAAAGGGAAAGCATGCTGCAAAATAGTGTGTGAATGAGATAGTGAAAGGAGAGTGCATGTATGTGCAGGGAGTGTCTCTATTTGTGAGGGACAGTTATATCCCACAGGATTCTTGGGGACTGGCGGACCAGGTTCCCCTGGCCAGGCAGTCACTACTACTGCTGAAATGTGTCCCAAAGCAGCTGGCTCTGCCCCAGAAACCGAGCCATCTTGAAGGGGAGTGCAGTTGTGATCAGAAGCCCAACCTTATCTTCAACAGGGGAGCCCTCAAATATCTCCTGGGACCCTACAACAAGCACAATGCCCAGGGACAAGCTTCCTCAGTTGTGAACCTATGAACAGGAAGACTCCAGCCTCCCAGGCCATGGGCACTTAAAAAGTTTGTCCAGATGGAGACAAAGCAGCATTAAATACGTAAATGGGTCCTGCATCTTCTCAAGGAGCAGATAGAAGGAAACATTGAATCAAATAACACTCACCCATAATTGGTGAATTAAACACTGCTGGTGATGCAATCCTTGGATGGAAAAATCAGAGATCTGGAGAGAGCTCAGCCTCCTCAGATTCAGCTGGGTGTTTGTTATTTGGGTGATTGTTGTTTGCATTTTTTATTAGTTGTTTGTTGTTGGCATTCATATCAGGGTGTTTCTTGTTTGCATTTTTGGGATTAGCTATTGGTTTTTGGAGTTTTCTCCCCATAAATATACATTTTTTTTCTCCTTTTTTCTTCTCTTTTTTTTCCTCTCTTACATTTTTTCCTTTGCTCAATATCAGTTTTGCATTCATTTATCTCCCCTAATTCTCTATTCTCTGATGGTCACCTTTGTTTAGGGTTATTGGTATTGTGAATACATTGGTGTTTGGTTCCCTGTACATAGTGTCTTGTTGTATTGTATTTTGTCTGTTTTAGTCAACACAGGAGAGAGAGACCTACATAATCAGACACACAGAGAAGAGCAACCTTGAGGAGACAAAGAAACAGCCCCAATAAGAAAGAAAAGAAGGAATCACCGAAAAAGGAGGTAAATGAAATGGAAACAAGCAATATGTCAGAGAAAGAATTCAAACAGTCTTCATAAAGATGCTGAAAAAGATGGAAGACAAATACAACAATATGTGTAAGAACCAAGAGGAAATGAAGAAGAACCAAGAAGAAATTTTAAAAAATGACATCACTGCAATACAGAACAGAATAGAAAGCATCAACAGTAGACCTGAAGAAATGGATAACCACATCACTGAGCTAGATGACAAGGTAGGAAAAAATACCCAAGAAGAGCAGAAAATTAAAAAACAAAACTTAAAATAACAGGAAGAGCATCTAAGGCAGCTTTGGGACAATACAAAATGAAATAACTTTCCCATAATAAAGATTATAGAAGGACAGGAAACTCAACAAGGAATACAAAACCTGTTTGAAGAAATAATGACAGAAAATTTCCCTGATATTGGGAAAAGAAAAAAATCACACAAATCCAAGAAGAACACAGAGTACCAAACAAGATGAACCCAACAATACCGACACCAAGACACATTATAATTAAATTGGCAAACACCTGCAACAAAGTAAGAATCTTAAAGGCTGCCAGAGAGAGTTACCTACAAGGGATCTTTCATCAGACTATCAACTGCTTTCTCAACAGAAACACATCAGGCCAGAAGAGAATGGAATGAAACACAAAGTCATGCAAAGCAAGGGTCTGAATACCAAAATACTGTACCCAGAAAGGCTATCAATGAATACTGAGGGTGAAATCAGGAGTTTCACAGACAAAAAGGGACTAAGAGAGTTTATTACCTCCAAATCAGCTATGTAAGATGCTGAAGGGACTACTGCAAAAAAGAATAAATAGGAGAGCGTTGGTCGACGCCGCCAGTGCGTGATGATGCATGTGCATGCGCGAAGACGTGAGGAAGCCTGTGAGCCATAGAGAACATTCAGCTGCCTATACACCTCCCTGGGTCCTACATATTCCTCTCACTGGGTTGGCATCTAACCATGCAGTCGAGACCAAGAGGACTGAATGCTGGGCTTATACTGCTCCTTTCTCAAATCTTTCATGTTGGCATCAATAATATTCCACCTGTCACCCTGGCCACTTTGGCTGTCAACATCTGGTTCTTCCTGAGTCCTCTGAAGCCACTGTATAGCTCCTGCCTCAGCGTGGAGAAGTGTTACCTAGAGAAAGACTGGCAGCACTTACTGCTCTCCCCCTTTCACCACGCGGATGACTGGCATCTGTATTTCAATATGGTGTCCATGCTATGGAAAGAAATACATCTGGAAAGAAGACTAGGAAGCTGATGGTTTGCCTATGTTATCACCATGTTCTCCCTACTAACTGGCGTAGTGTACCTTTTCTTGGAATTTGCTCTTGTAGAGTGTATGGGTGAGTCCGGCTTCAAAAGGAGTTGTGCTATAGGTTTCTAAGGTTCATAGGGAGCTGTCGTTGTCTTGGTTTCGTAGATGGGGAAGCTAAGACTCAGAGAGGGTAAAGAAACTTGGTTGAGGTTACACACCTAGTAGCTGGGAAGCTGAGGAGTTTTGTTGCCTTGAAAGTTCTTAACAACCATTATTGCCCTGGAGGGTTTGTCACCATTTTGGGATTTTCTATACCCAACAAATTTGCTTGTTGGGCAGAACTTGTGGCTATTCACTTAATCTCTCCAGGGACCTCCTTCGCCAAGCATCTGGCCGGGATCCTCGTTGGACTCATGTACACTCATGGGCCTCTGAAGAAAATCATGGAAACATGTGCAGGCATTTTTTTCCTCCAACAATGGCTACTCAGGACAGCAATATTACTTTAATAATTCAGGCTACTCTGGATCTCAGGATTATTACACATATGCCAGGCCAGGTTACCAGGAAGACGCATCCAGGAACTATGATGCCTACACAGGATGACTGAGTGAGAAGGAACAGCTGGAGAGAGCACTGAGAGACAGCTTCTGGGACCAAGGAAACAGCAGGAACACGCCCCCATCCTATGGGTTCCGGCTAACACCAGAGGAAAAAATGAGGAGAATGCTGCTTCACTGATTCCACCGCCAGTGAGGACGCCGCATCCCGCAGACAGCAGTGGTGTCATTATTGCTCGCGCGGTTCCTCCAAACCCTAATGACTAAACAGAAGCAGAGAGCGGTTATCGTCCAGAGCGCTCAGATCTGCCTTGCCCATGTGTCTCCCGTGGCCCCAGGAGCCTAGAGTCCCAAGCAGGCTGGTAGCCCTGAAGCCAGCCTTGCTGGACAGCCTTCTTCAAGCAGCCTTCCCCTGGCCCTGCTTTCTCTCACTCACAAGGCCAGTGCCTCAACGTAGGGACCGGTTTCCACACTCCGTCCCCTCACTGTCCACTCCGAGGAGCCTCTGCCTTGTTTTGTTTTTGAGGACTCTGACCTTCACCAGGTTTGTCTCCCCCAGCTCCAGCTCCTAAAATGGGGCTTTATTCCACCTATCCTGCTCTGTGTTCGACTTTGCAGGAAGTGAGGAGCAGTGCCTGGTCCTCCTGGCATGTTGCCATGGCGACCTCCCAGGACTGGGATGTGGCTCCCACTGCACTGATTCCATCTCCTTGTGCAGGACCCCAGCTCCTTGGCCCCTGCATCTGGGTGGTGCTGGCAGTGCACGTGGTTGTGCCTTGTATTGCTTGGCCTTACAGAGCGTCTGACCAGAAGAGCTTTAGTGAGAGCAGGTGGGGAAAGTGCTAGGCCAGTGCCTCTATGTAGGGACCAGTTCCCACACTCCATTCCCTCACTGTCCACTCCGTGGGGCCTCTTCTGACAGTACATTGAACAACTGGGCATCAGGTGGCACCAGCATGGGGCAGCCTCCCTGGTGGCCTTCTGCGGGCCTGGGGGGGGGGGGAGACTGTTTTTTAACCCATCAGCAAAGCAGAGGTGCCACATGCAGAGTAGGCCAAGGTGTTGGTGGTATGTTCTCCGAGAAATCGTGCTTGAGGAAGCCTTTTCTCATCAAAGTGCCTTTTCACTGGCCTCTGTAATAGCCACTCGTCTACTTAAGTATCTAAGACACTCCCTGCTGTCTGGCCAATCATTTAAGTGCTTCCTAGTGCTTCTGTTTTATGAAAAGGACAGTTGCTATCACTGATGTCTTAGTCCCTGAGATATTTATTTTTTAAAGAGTTGGAAGCAGCAAACATCTACTTCATTTATCTAGAATTTATATAGAGTTTTCTGATTATGAAAGTAATATACATGTCCCTCATATGCATAAAGCAAACATATTATGGAAGAAAAATAAGAGGTTATTTTGGGGAGTGAAGCAAAAAGGATTTTGCTTTCTGTTTTTATAATTTTATATTGCTCTTTTAATATATATATATGTGTGTGTGTGAGTGTATGTGATCACTTTTGCAATAAGAAATCTGATGTCTATCACAATAATAAATCAAGAAATATATAAAAAAAGAATAAATAGGATGGGAAGAAAGAAGACAGGCATAAATAATAAAAATAGTGAAAAACAACTACCTATCAATAATAACTATAAATGTAAATGGATTAAATGCTCCAATCAAAAGACATAGGGTAACGGATTGGATAAGAAAACTGGACCTATATATCTGCTGTCTACAAGAAACACACCTCAGAACCAAAAAAACACACAAAGACTGAGGGTGAAGGGATGGAAAAAGGTTTTTCAGGTGAAGGGAAATGAAAAATAAAAAAGCTGGGATAGCAATACTTATATCTGACAAACTAGATCTCAAAGTGATGGACATAACAAAAGATAAGGAAGGGCACTTTATAACACTAGTGGGAGCAATCCAACAAGAAGAAATAACTCTAGTAAACATATATGCACCCAATAAAGGATCACCCAAATACATTAAAAAAAACAAAACTCCTGGAGGATATCAAGGGAGAGATTGACAGCAATACAATCATAGTAGGAGACTTTATTTTATTTTTTTAATATATTTTATTGATTTTTTTACAGAGAAGAGAGAGGGATAGAGAGTTAAAAACATCAATGAGAGAAACATCAATCAGCTGTCTTCTGCACACTCTCTACTGGGGATGTGCCCGCAACCAAGGTACATGTCCTTGACCGGAATTGAACCCGGGATTCTTCAGTCCACAGGCTGATGCTCTATCCACTGAGCCAAACTGGTTTCGGCCATAGTAGGAGACTTTAATACCCTACTATCACCATTGGACAAATTGTCTAAACAAAAAAAAAATCAGCTAAGAAATATCCATCCTAAATGACTCACTAGACCAGATGGAATTAACTGACATCTTTAGAACACTTCACCCCAATGCCACAAAATATACATTCTTCTCAAGTATACATGGGTCATTTTTAAAGATAGGCCATATGTTGGGTCATAGGCAAAGTCTCTTCATAGTCAAGAAAATAGAAATCATATCAAGCATCTTTTCAGATCACAGTGGCATAAAACTGGAAATCAACTACAATAAAACAATCAAAAAAAATCAAACACATGGAGACTAAACAGCAGGCTATTAAACAATGACTAGATTACCAGAAAGATCAAGGAAGAAAAAAAAAACATCATGGCAACAAATGACAATGAAAACAAAACAATCTAAAATCTATGGGACACAGTGAAAGCAGTCTTGAGAAGGAAGTTCATAATTCTACAAGCCTACTGCAAAAACAAACAAACAAAACAAAAAAACAAGAAATAGTGGTAATAAAATACCTAATGCTACAACTCAAAGACTTAGCAACAAGAAAAGCCCGGTGTAAGCAGAAGGTAGGAAATAATAAAGATCAGAGCAGAAATAAATGAAATAGTGACAAAAGAAACAATACAAAAGATCAACACAACCAAGAGCTGGATCTTTGAAAGTATAAACAAGATTTATAAACCAGGCTCACTCAAGAACCAGAGGAGAGGACCCGAATAAACAAAATCAGAAATGAAAATCAGACTCGAATAGCTGATCCCACAGAAATATAAAAGAATATGAAAAAATACTATGAACAACTCTATTCCAACAAAATGAACAACCTAGATGAAATGGACATATTCTTAGAAAAATGCAAGCTCCTAAAACTCAATCAGAAAGAATTAAAAAACGCTGAATAGCCTGATAACTACCAAGAAATTGAAGCAGAAGTGAAAAATCTTCCAGCAAGCAAAAGCTCTGGTCCAGACAGCTTTATATGGGAGTTCTACTAAGCATTCAAAACGAACTAAAACCTATCTTCCTCATACTATTCCAAAATCTTCAAGAGGAAGGCACATTCCAAGCTCTTTCTATGAAACCAGCTTTACCCTAATCCCAAAACCAGATAAAGACACCACAAAAGAAAGAGAACTACAGGCCAATATCCTTGATGAACATAGATGCTAAAATTCTCAACAAAATTCTACCAAATCAGATTCAACATTACATTAGAAAGATCACACATCATGACCAAGTTCGATTTATTCTGGGAATGCAAGGATGGTACAATATCCACAAATCAATAAATGTGATACATTACATAAACAAATTGAGAGACAAAAATCACAGAATCATATCAATCAATGCAGAAAAAGCTTTCAACAAAATCCAATATTCTTTCTTGATAAAAATACTCAGCAAAGTGGGAATAGAGGGATCATACCTCAACATAATAAAAGCCTTATGTGACAAACCTACAGCCAACATCTTACTCAATGGTCAAAAACTAAAACCATTTCCCCTGGGAATGAGAACAAGATAGATATCACTTTCACCATGCCTGTTTGATATAGTACTGGAAGTGCTAGCCATAGCGATCAGACAAGAAGAAGATATAAAAAGGCATCCAAATTGGAAAAGAAGTAAAACTGTCCTTATTCAGAGATGGACATGATACTATACATACAAAACACCCAAAGACTCCATAAAAAAAACTATTAGACCTAATAAATGAATTCAGCAATATAGCCGGATACAAAATTAACACCCAGAAATCAATGGCCTTTTTATACACCAACAATAGACCCACAGAACAGAAAGGAAAAGGACAGTCTCATTTACCATTGTACCATAAGAATTAAGATACCTAGGAATAAACTTAACTAAGGAGGTAAAAGACCTGTACTCAAAAAACTACAGAACATTTAAAAAAGAGATAGAGAAAGACATAAACAAATGGACGAACATACCATGTTCATGGATTGGTACAAGCAACATCATTACAATGTCCATACTATCCAAAGCAATCTACAGATTCAATGCAATCCCTATTAAAATACCAATGTCACACTTCAAATATCTAGAACAAACTCTCCAAAAATTCATGTGAAATTTTAAAAAGCTCCCGAATAGCCATAGCAATCC